GCAGGCTTGGGGGGCTGGGAGCAAACTGGGATAGGGAGTTGGGTGTTCTGGGGCCCCTGAGACAGAGCAGGGGTGGGGGGCAGGTCACCTTGGCACCTCCAGCTGTCGCTGTCGCTGGGGACCCAAGAAGTCCTCAGGTGCTCCTGGAGTTTGTGACTGTCTTGGGGTAAACTATACATTCCGTGAAATGCCCCATCTTGGGGCTCATGGCTTTCACACTTTCGCGATGTGCACAGCGCCCCCTGCTGGTCCCTCAATCCTCTCCCCTGGGAGTCTGACCTGTCCTGTGGGTGGGGCAGGAGTGGTGGGGTGGCTGGCACAGGGTGGGGATTTGGGGTCAGCAGCCTGTGACGTGTGGCTGGGGTGACCGATGCCCCTGTGTGCCCCACACAACTCAGAAGCAGAGGGGAACCTACCATCAGGGCAGAGTCCCCACTTAAGAGAGGACAAGGTTCAGCAGGTGAGGTGGCCCCTAGCGCACAGCCTTCCTTGTCTTTGTGAACCTTAGATGGGTATAAAATTAAGCCAGAATGATGCATTTATCCCATTCTAAACACATTCTTGTGGGTTTTTTTCATAACAAAGATCAAACCTAGGGGTGTTCTAACACTGAGCTATATACCCCAACCCTGTTTTTTTTTAAGGTAGGGTCTCTCTATATACACTTCAGCCCGTCCTTGAATTCACTATGTTGCCCAGGCTGGCCTCAATCCTCCTGCCTCAGCCTCCCGAGTGCTAGATTACAGGTGTGTGTCACCACACTAGGCACTATTATTTTATTTTATCTTGAGTCAAGGTTTCTTAAAGTTGCTGGAGTTGGCCTCAAACATGCCTCAGCTCCTCCTGCCTCAGCTTCCTGAATAGCTGGGATTATAGGTGTATTCCACTGTCCCAGGTTCTAAACACATTCTCAACAAAGATTTTTAGTTTCACTTTTTATGAACCAAAAAAATAGAAGGACTATGCACAGGTTTCTGGATGGGTAGCTGAGTGTGGTGAGCTTTCTCCGCCAATGCTCTGTCACGACTTAAGGACTGAAGTGTGTGTAGGCTGGGAACCACAGTGTAGCGGTCTTCTCTGTGTGATGAGGTTACCACAACCCTATTCAAACCAAAAGGCAAATCAAAGCAAGGACAGACAGCGAATAGTTTTATTCCCTATTCATCATGAACATCAGTAAGTTCAGATTCTATTTTTAATAAAAGGAAGACATACAGCCAGAGTAAATAGACTGAAGTAATTCTTAAGATTCCAAGTGTAGATTATTATCCAGAGTTTGAGGTTTTTTGAGAGCTGTCCAGTTCACTTTGGTGCATATGATTTTTATTTGTGTAAACTTAACAATAAGTGTAGCCAGAAAAATCTAGAACTTTCTAGATGTTATTGTGCTTCTTACAAGTACTTCGTCAGTAGAGAGTGTACTTTTGTTTCCACAGATCTCCTAACTCTGCCTTGCACTGTGTGTACACCAGGGAGTGTAGAAATGAGTGTCAGTGAGTACCAAGGAGAGACGCCAGGGCGCTGGTGCATCAATAGTTATATTTTTCCAAGTAAACTCTCGGCACACTAAATTGGAAGTCAAAGCAGTGACCAAAAAGCTATTTTACTTCATATGTGTTTTCGTAGTAAATTCTGCCTGGCTCAGCCCTCCTAAACATTTTCCTCAACTTCCCTCAGAAAAGCTGAGGGAGTCCTCTGCAACTGGGCCGTGACTTGGCGCCTCAACACTGGCAGGACTTCGGGAGCCTCTCCTGTGGTGGAGGAGGACTCTGTCGAGAGGCGTCCACACCCCAGGATGTGAGCCGACCACAGCCTTGCAGTGTGGGTGGCCACGGCATGGATGCCGGTGGAATCCTGGGGAAACCACGGAGCCGCTCTCTCTCCTGAGGTTGACCTCGAGTCTCTTTGTGGGCCGAAAGTGCAGCTGTGCTGGAGCTGGCTCTTTGGAAGTGGCACTTATGGTTTCCAGAACTGCATTTTAGGTTCTGCAGCCACAAGCCGCGACTCATGGAGGGCTGGCCCTGCCCCACCCACACCTGCAGGTGTCTTGGGATGGTGTCATGTGGCCGTCATCCACGTGACCGCTGGCCACTTGTCCCAGGCGGAAGGGGCTGGCCACACCCTCTGCAGGTGCCCTCGTTCCGCAGGGTGTATCGCACGCTCTCTATTTACATTGTGTGTGAGTTTTCAAATGTGGTTTTAAAGATAGGAATCAGATAACGTTATCCTGGGAATGTTCATCTCAGGGTGATCCCTCTGGGGCTGGGAGCCGCACCACACCGTAGATCCTGCCGTGCAGAAAGAGCGGAAACCCTGCCACTTCTTTTTGTAAAGTGACTTTACGAGGGAACCTGGTGTTTGACCTTGAGTAAAGTTCTGGAAATCACACTCCAGCTTCATCCTGGCCGTCTGGGATTAGACTAAACATGCACTTTTTTTTTTCTGAAACACATCCCATGTTGGGCAGGAGGAGGAACAGCTTGGATGCCATTGTCAAAGGGTGCTTTATCGTGTCTCTGGGCACTGGAAGAAGCGGGAAGCCAACCAGCCGCACACACCGTGAGGCGCGGTGAGATCTGTTCCCACCGGAAGCAGCAGCCTCGGCTGTGCCCTGGAGGTAGTGCACGGCACCCCTTCCTGGATCGGGCTGCTGTGCCCTGTGCAGACCCTGCCGTGTCACAAGGCCACGGTGCCACCTCTTGTGGGCCTTCCTCTGGACTCGCCAGGCCCTCTCTCCTCTCTGCTTTCTCTTCCCCTTATTTGGTTCACACTGCTCCTTCCTGCTGGGACGTCCTCTCTGCTGTCCTGGCTCTGCCGTCCCCGCCTGTGAAAGCCAGGCTTCCAGCGACTGCTCCCTCTGGGGGGCAGGGACCTGGGCCAGCTGGGCCTGGCAGGGGTTGCCGCGAGCAGATGTTCTCTGAAGAACGGACCCGGCCAGACCCACAGTCCCAGGTGCCCAGCACAGTACAGGGCCCCCAGCGCTGCCCTTGTGGAGATTTCCTGGGGAGGGGTTGACAGGATTGGCTGAGTGGAGTTTTGGGGGAGTCCCCTGGGCCTACAGCAGCTCTTGCATAAGAATTTACATTTTTTCCCTTGCATCAATGAGAGTATTCATGAGCTAAGTAAGGCCTGGTAGATAAGGAGAATTTGTGATAGACAGTTTGGCAAAGAGAGTAAGAAGCGCCACACGAGCCCTTCTAATTGACAGTGGGTTCAGCAACTGTGAAAATGGAAATCTGTTACCCATTGTTCAGAGATAGGCTATTTTGCCTTCCTGGTGTTTTAACCTTTTCCCTGCCTTCTTCCTCAGGGGCGGGGTGGGGTGACTTAGGTGTTGGTTTTAAGTATTTAATTGTCTCAGGCAAGGCAGTGGCCAGCCTGTGACCACGGCTTCGGCTTCGAGAAGCTCTGTTTTGGAGCCACGCGCCCGTCATTCCTGGAATAGTTCCCCGATCACGTCAAGCGGCACATTTCCTTTTTCAGTGTGACCAGCGGTGCGGCTCCCAGAGCCTCGGCTGGTGGAACGAAGGAGGGCACAGGGAAGCGCGGGCTCTGCTCTTGGTGCCCAGCGTGAAGGGCCCGCCTGCCTGGGTGCCGCCTGCCCGGCACTTCCGAGAGCAGCGGGCCTGCAGAGTGGGCAGCCGAGCCCGAGTGGACACTGCCGTGTGGCGTTAGGCGGCCGTGGGCTCGGAATGTTTCACTTAGTGGAGTAATGCGCAGGGCGTGTTCTGGGTCACGGAGGAGGGGCCGGGCCTGTGTCAAGCGCCTGTCCGACTGGGCGACTGGGCAGCGTCCTGCAGAGGCGAGGCAGACAGGACGGTGGGCGGGTTCAGGGAGGGGTGGGGCGGGGCAGGGTCTCCTCCTGCACACTTGAGTGGTGGCACTTGAGTGATGTGGCTGCTGGGGCAGTGGGGCAGAGATGCGGGAGTGGAGCGAGGGAACTCGGCAGAGGGGCTGAGGGGCTGCCCCAGGGGCCGGGCTCCTCCCTGGACCAGCAGGCAGGGCACCTTGAGGACGTCCTGCCGGGGAGCCCGGCCCTCACCTCTGACGCAGTGCCCACCTTGTCTCTCTGCAGCGCCTGGAGTAGGGGGAAAGAGCTGCTCCCCTTCTCTGAGCTGGGTTGGGTAGCCCTGGCTCTTCCTGGAAGGAGAGCTGGATGCTTCTGTGCATGGCTCTGTTGATGAGGTTTCGAGGGCTGAGTGGGTGGAGTGGGGTGGTTCTGTGGGTGCAGCTGGCAGGAGTGGAACAGGGGACCTGGAGCCGGCCTGTGGGGTGCAGTCTCAAGTCTGCCTTCTGCCCAGGGCCACCCTGCCCGGTGGGCCCACTGTGGTGACTCACGGTCACGGGAGCCTGGCCCCAGGCGGTGCATTTCCACCCCCGGGTCCCCACGGACTCACACGGAGCCCACCAGCCGTCATGTGGCCAGTAGTTCTTGCCACATCTGTCCGCAGCTGGACGGGGACCAGTGACCTGGGTGAAATGCTGGGCCTCTTCCTCGTCCCGGAGAAGGGACACTTGATGTCCTCCCCTGTCAGCGGGGGAAAGGCAAGAAGAGGGAGCCAACAAGTCGTGGGCGGGAAGAGCGAGCCCAGAACCAGTCACATGTTGAGCAAAGGAGAAGCCAGTGTCCTCCTCCGGGTGACTGCGTCGGTGGAGCCCCGCGGCCCGCAGACCCGATGCGAATGGGAAACAGAGGGAGCGTGGGTTTCGCATGGGCAGGCCGGGTCCCACCGCAGTGGAGCGACTGCGCATGGGAATTGTAGTCATTTCTCCCATCTTTCACGATCGTTTCTTTTCCAAGAATGCATCAACACACTAGTTGTTTTCAAATTGAAGTAGAAATGTTTCGTAAGTCTGAAAAGTGGTAAGGATTGTTCTTTCTGTCTCCCGTGGTTGAGTGGGACAGAAATATTTGACTGGATTCTTCTATTGGTTACATTACTGGTAGAGAATTCTGTCCTCATCTTGGGACTGCGCTGATCTTGACCGATCAAAACCGAGTGCTAAGGATGGGATATAGTAATAACAATGCAGGTGGAAAGGCAGGGCCTGTGAGCTCTTGGAAACTGAGGGAGAAGAGATTTCCTCACCCGTAAGTCTACCAGATGTATTTGTAAAAGTTCAAAGATGCTGTGCAAATGTAAGCTTTTACGAAATTATTATCTGTGTTGCATCATTTGGCCTGTGTTGTGCTCTCTGCTTTATTTTCCATTATTTCTTAGATCTACGGATGGTTTTTCTTGGGGATGAATTTCACAGAAGCTTCCGGTTTCCCTTTGCTGCCTGCCAGTGCCACAGCAGCTCAGCCTCGGTCTGCCCACGCTGTTGGTCCTGCCCAGGTGGCCCTCCCCACAGCTTCCTCAGTTGCGTAGCTATCGAAATACCCCTGAGGAAGTGCTGGGACCAGAGCCCCATCAGGCCAGCAGCATCCCCAAAACTGTTTCGACACTGTGTACAGCACAGGGAGTGTGGAGAGGAATTTGAAAGATAAGCTGTTTCCACTTGGCAGGGCTCCGATGTCCCTATTTGGTGGGGTGTGAGGCGCACAGGAGTCGGAGAGGCCCGTCTTCCACTGGACGCAGGGGACGCCCCGGCAGATGGAGGACGTGGCCCCGTCCCCTCGGCCCGGATTGTGTGGCGAGGAGGTGCCGGGCCTCACCGACACAGTAGCGGCTCCCTGGTCTTGCGGGCCCGCTCCGGAGTAGAGAGGGCTTCTGGAGCTCCTTGGGCCATGGCTGTCCGGAAATGGGTTCATTCCCTGTCCAGCCATTGACCCCGGCCCTCCCCGTCCTGCTGTGGCCCAAGGCCTGTGTATTTTAAAGTCGCGGTGCATTTTTAGAACTTCACTTACTTTATAACATGAAGGTGGGTGGTTCTGATGTCTCAGTGGGAGTGGGAGGCAAGTTGTAGTAATATTGATATCAGCTTTTCCAGAAAGGTCTGCAGAGACTTGGAGGGGAGGGAGACCCAGTGTGGGGCCACTCCGTGCAACCTCTGCTCTCCTTTCATGTTGTCCTTTTGTTTTTGTTTAAAGTTGGTCTCTGCTAGTGAAGGTTGCCATGTGTGTGCGCGTGTGTGCGTGTGTCTGACGGTGCACGGGGAAACGGTTCGCTTTGCGTTTTCCTTATCCAGTTTCCTCCAATTCCAATCCTACCTTCCATTTGGGGACAACCCTTCACGGGCTCTTAAGAGTTTCGGGCTGTGTTCTTTACTGGAAGACTTTGAGAGTGGCCTTGCTGTCCCCGACACTGTCTCTGCCGAGAGCCTCCTGGGGTCTCTGCTGTCCTGTCGGGTGGGTCCCCCTAACCCGTGGCGTGATGGCTGGCTTCTGTGAGTGACACCAAGAGCCACTCTTGCCTGCCCTGTGAGCTCTCACGGCTGCACTCCTTGGCCTCCAAGAGGGCTTCCAGCCTGCTGCCTTCTGCCCAGCCTGGCCACCGGGGTTAAGTGTCTCTCGTGGGAAGAAAGCATGGGACAGAGCTAATCTGCTTGACCCTGGATGCTGTGAGGGAGGGACAGGGAAGGGGAGGGGGGAGCGCTTTCCAGCATGCACCAGTGCTCCGGCTGGCTGGGGTCCCTGAGCTGTGGAGGAAGCCTGGGAGAGAGGAGGTGCAGCCCAAGCCTGCACATCGCGCGCCCCACAAACCACTTCTTTAGGTTTTGCTGACTTGCCGAGGGGCCACGTGAAATGTGGCTGCTCAGGGTATCATGTGATTTGGGACAGCACAGATGCTGCCAGGCCAGGTCACCGGACCTGTGGGCCTCGGAGGGCCGTGCCCCTCCACCGGCGGGGCGACAGCACGCAGAGCACACTGGGCTCTGTTTAGCAAGACATTTCAGTCAGCCCTGGTTAAAGAGTGACCCCAGTGGGCATGGTCTGTCCTCCTCAACAGTGTGTCCACCAAAGTCATGCCCAAAGTGCCAGCTGACAGCCGCTGTGACGTGGAAGCAAGAGAGCAGGGCGGGGAAGCTTCAGAAGAGGTTTCCCTCAGCCAAGCAGGCTGCATCTTCGGGACTCTGCTTGTTATTCTAAAAATCAGTGGTTGTTTTTAGTAAAACCACTTGTATAAGATGCCAGGCCACCCAGAATGTGACACAGAAAATATGGTCTTAAAAACATCTTTTTTTTCCTCTCAAAAGCTGATCATAATTTAGATAATTTATTAGAATTATCAAATCTCTGAAATTGCCTCCAAGGGCCACAGTTGGTAATAAAATTTCTTACATGAATAAAGAAGATAAAAATGTCCTCTGTGTAAATACCTCCGGTCTAGTGTTAAAACATTTCTGTGTGATACACAGTACAGGCTGGCAGAGGGAGGCCAGCAGCTGGCTCCGGGCTTTTATTTCCGAGCTCACATTTTCCAGTTTTATTATTATTATTATTAATTATTATTATTATCATTATTATTATCATCATCATTATCATCATCGCATCATTTTATGGTGCTGGGGACTGAACCCAGGGCCTTCACATTAAGCTACACTCCTGACCTTTTAAACAAGCTCTAAATTTTGAGACAGGGTCTCACTATATTGCTAAATTGCCCAGGCTTGGCTCAAATTTGAGATCCTCCTGCCTCAGCCTCTCAGAGCGCTGGGATTACAGGTGTGCACCACTACGCCTGGCTTTTCCCAAGTTTCTTGAGACCCACACAGTGGTCTGGGGCAGACTGTCAATGTCCACCCACTCATGCTAGTGTTTCTGTCCCAGAAGCTCTAGGAAAGCCCCAACTTGGTTTCTGCCCTCAGGACCTGTGCCTCCTTCAGGTGCCTGGACCCATGTGCCCGCTGACAGCTTGCCGGAACAGCCCAGGAAATTCCTGTTAGAACTCCTGGAAACTGAATCTCGATGAGCTTCTGAGATTTTCTCAGAATTTCAGGAGAGAAAAAACCCCCGAGTACCCACTTCATTTCGGCTTCTCCCTCTTGATTGCCATTCTGGGGGCGCGGGTGCCTGGGCAGCCGGGCTGTGTCCCTCCTGGCACGTTTTCCCTGTACACGGAGAGTTGTGGTCAACGGATGCCCCTCCTGTGGGTGCCAGCATCTAAGCAGCTGCACATCAGGGAGGTCTGAGGCGGTAGAATGGGCCAGACACACCGACTCTGTCTCTCCGCCCTGGTGCAGTTTCCACGCATGCAGGCAGCTGGACTCCAGCTCAGGCAGGCCTGGGTCACCAGGGAGAAGTGGAGGTGCCCGAGTGCCATGCACAAGTCACAGGGACCCAGGCCGCCCGAGGGGCAGCGGAGTGGGGCGGGTCTGGGGACCCCTGTGCATATTGGACGCGCCTTTGGGAGAACTGGGCCGTCTCTTTGGAGGACCCTGAGAGGTCACCAGCCCCATGTGGGATGCACACCGTGCCCACGCAGTGACTCTATCGACGACGTCCAGAGGTTCTGGGCGGGGAGGCCTAATGCAGTTGCCTAGATGGTGAGTCAGAGAAAGGAACAAATCCTGACCCGTGCAGCTGGCTTGGACCCTTGTCAACTGTCCCCATTTCCAAAATGTAAAAACAAGATCAGCTCCCTGTCTCCGAGGCACTTGTACAGATGTGACCTCAGGAATAAGCTTCTCCAGATGTGATGTGGGCAGAACATCTCTGTGGGGTGGAGCCCGGCTTGTGCACGCTGTTAAAAAGATAGATCGAGCGCCACGCTATTAATAGCAGGGTTCCACGTCCAGGACACTTGTTGCCCGACGCAGAGTGTGGGGGAACCTTTATTTCAGCCATGAGGTGGTGTCGCTAATAGACCTTGTTGACTGCATTGTTCCTGTCGTACCGGCTGACATGTTCTCGCCACCCCCTCTGGACTGCGATGCTCTGAAACTTGGAGTTTTGAAGGAGATGAACAGCAGGTGCATGAAGGCAGCCTCCCTTATTGTCATCTGCTGCGTCCGCTGCTTTAGCGGTTGGGGCAGAGTCGGGTCAGTTTCCCTAGAATTCCTTGGGTCCTGCGGACGCTGGCCATCTGCACACGCTGCTGAGCTTGTCAGGGAGGTGGCGGGGCTGCGTGCGGCCCCGGGAGGGGCGTTTGAGTGCCTGGTACTTGTCCTCTCCAGTGGATACCACACCTTGCATTTTTATTTAGGATAGAAACGAATTGCAAGAACAGTTTGCTGAGTGTTCTGTAAATGAACAGTGGAGCTTTCACTAGATTAGAAAATCACATCTGTAAGATTTGGGCTTAAGGTCGCTTGTTCACTTGCTCTCTGCACAGTGTGTTTCTCGTGTCTGGATGCCCAGGAGCCAAGGGCCGGGCACACAGTCCCCTCCGGAAGCCCTCTGTGTCCTGTGGCCCACACCCTGATGGTGGGACCTCAAGGTCCTGGTCCTGGTGACAGGCGGCACCTGCCTCATCAGGCCACTCGGCCTGCTATCAGTGAGACTTGGAAGTGTCCCCTGCTTAACTTCTGTCTTCTTTCCTTCTAGGGTGGGTGTGATGGAGCCGGTGGTTGTGGAAAATGTGACTGCCACGGAGTGAAGGGACAAAAGGTAAGAATCCTCCTTTCAGGATGGCCATTCCTGTGTCCACGATTACAGCGGCTGCTCCTCCTGCATCCACAGTTATAGCGGCCACTCCTGCGTCCGTGGTTACAGTGACCTCTCTGGAGGTGGTAATGCTAAGTGACAACAAACATCGAGAAAGGGGTTTGGATTATTAGCACTTTTTGGCTCTAGAGTAACAATCCAGGAAAATCTTTTGATTCAGTCATTCTGGGATTGATAGATAAGAACTAAATTTGGCATTTTTAATTTTTAATTTTTTTGGTGGGGGGGTACCGGCGATTGAACTCGGGTCCTTGCTCTTGCAAGGCAGGCCACTGAACTGCTAAGCTAAATCCCTGGCCCTAGCATTTTTAAAATAAAAAGTTTCTGTTAAACATAAGGTCTTTCTATTCAAATTAGTATTTTAAAACAACTTTTCATTAATCACATACTTGCTAGATTTATTTATACAAATGACATTTGTTGCTTCCTAACTGTAAAATTATATATATTTGCTTGTCAGCAGACTCCCCACTTCTCATTCCAGAAACAGGACTGTGGATAAAGATCATTTTCTCTGCAAGGCAGGTTTCAGTGGCTGGAGACAGGCGCCTCTACCCACGGGCCGAGCAGGGACCCAGCGCTCCCTGGATTACTATGGAAACCCAGGGTGGCAGGAAGGATGGGGCTGTTGCCCCTGCCTGGGAGGCCTCTCCCTCCGTCTCTCCCTCCTCCTCCTCTTCCTTTTTGCAGTACTGAGGATCTAACCCAGGGCCTTTGTGCTGAGCTCGAGCCCCAGCTTCATCCATTTACTCACTTGCTTACTGATTTTATTAGCCTGTGTGCACAGTCCCTGTGTGGAGCTGGTGCGTGTACAGGACTCACCCCGAGTCCTGTTTCAGTCCCCTTCCTCCCTGCCCCTATCTTTTGGTCCCCTTCCCTTTTGGGAAAGAGCTCCCTCCCTACTTCCTATGACCCATCTTTTAGTTTGCTCTTTATCCGTAATCTGGGCTTCAGGGTCTAAGTTACTGAGTTGCCCAGGCTGGGTCCACTCAGCTTGTGACCCTCTTGCCTCGGCCTCGCGGAGTGCTGGGGTTACCCGTGCTGGGCTGGGAGCTTTCTTTAGCTGCCCTTCGTCTTCATATTCTGCTCGTTCCCTGCCCGGGTTCCCTCAGGCTGGTTTCAGTGTCATTGTCAAGAGTGATTCTGAAGTAGAAGTGAGTCTCTCTCACTTAAAGCCTTAAAACCGCAGCGCACAGGCGTCAGTGAGTGGGAGGCTGGGCCCCGTCTGGCCCCGTCAGGCCCCGTCTCTCTTATGGTTTCCCCTGTAGCTGGTAAAGCCCCAGGGTTTCAAGGGGCTGGGAGAGTCTGTGTCTCAGTGCTGGGGAGCAGGGTCCCCCACGGTCCTGCAAGGACCTGGGAAGAGCCCCTTTAGCCTTAAAAAAAAAACCTATATATATGTACTGGGCTGAACCCGGGGCCTTTGCACTAAGCTACAGACCCAGCCTCTTCCTCCTGTGTTTTAAAATTGAGATAGGATCCTGCTAACTTCCCCGGGCTAGGCTCAGATTTATAGTCCTTCCTGCCCCACTGTCCCAGAGTGCTGGGAATTGCAGCTGTGGCCACCAGCTCTGGCCTTGTGGGTGTTTGGTAGCCCAGTTCACTTAGCTTTCTCCCAAAAGTCCACCCATACAGCAAAGCGTAACGAGTCAGGCTTCTCCATCCTGCTGTCTTCCGTGAGGACCTGTGCAGCGGCCGGGCTCCGCGCTCCAGGGGCCCCACCAGTGCTCCCTGGCATTGGAGTGGGCTTGATGCATTCATTCACAGCTCTGCGGGGTGCAGCTGTGGTGATGGGGTCCTGAGCTCCTCTGCCCTACTCTCCACGCTGGGAGGCTGGGTGCGGTGCCATGAGGGCACAGCGGAAGCTGGCTCTACGTTGCCCTGTCCTGCGGGGCCAGCCTGAGCTAGGCATTGACAACCGCAGTGGCTTCTGGGACTGGGGCAGGCATGGGACTGCGCTGTCCCCCTCAGGGTTCCCACGGGGACACAGGCCACGGGGGCAGGGTCTTCTCGGCTCGACCTGCTCCTCAGGTCTTCTCCATCATCCACTTCCGAACTTATTTTTTCCATAAGGAATAGAAAAGCTAGATAACAGGAAGCGGGAGATGGATCTTTTGCAAAATGAAAGAGGCCCACAAAGAGGAAAGGGCGCAGGGAGGGGAGGGGAGGTGGATTTGAGATGCGCCGGGCACACGCCCGAGTCCTTACAGCATGTGTCATGGTTACGCGCTGCAGGCGGCCCCGTAGAGAGCATTTACAGCACTGGTCAGCTGTTCTGATCTGTTGGTGAAAGACTTCAGTTGCCAGTGCACTAGGAGGCCTCTCGGAGTCCGCGCAGCAAACCCGTCTGGTGTCACCATTCTAACCGGAGTGGGCCCCGCGTCTCCTCCTGAGCACTGGCAGCTCCCGGCCTCAGTGCGGAGAGGAGGCTCCCCCATGGACAGGGGACATTTCAAACACCCGCTCTCTGCCCAGGGAGCCCTGCTAAAATAACCACCCCCGTGGGGGGTGAAGTGCTTCTCTGCTGCTCCCCATGTGTGGCCCATGCCATGCTCCTTAGTCCTCATCTGGCTCAGCCAGGGAAGGGTCCAGGCCCTGAGAGGACAGCTAGGTCTCCCACCTTCTACACTTTCTCAGTGCCTTCAAGCCCTAGAAATGTTGACCAAGCTTACCGTGCCAGGTTGAGAGTCCTGGGAAGCCAGTTTCAATCACGGGTCTCCCCGAGCTGCTCAAGGTCCCTCAGGTCTCCTGGCCAGGCCACTGCTGTTAAAGATGTGACCTCACCGAGTTAGGTACCCAAGTAGGACCCAGTGCCATGGCCCAAGAAATGTGGAGGCCGATTTTTCCAAGACACTACCTTTTGTCTCCCTATGAGGAGCACTTTGGCAGTGTGATTTACGAGCCACCTGTGCCTCCGTGGACACTGGAGTCTCTCCAGGTGAAATTGCCACATCTCTTCTGGCTCAGTCCCGCTCTTAAGAGCTAGGCACCGCGGACAGAACATTCTACAGTCTGGAGATGTTACAGATTTCAGTGCAACAGCGCTTTGCTGACCGCCCGATCTGTTTGTTATTAGGTAATGGATACAGCTCCCAGCACTGTTCTGCATTCAGCAGTCCAAGCAGCAGGCTTCTCTGGGGTTCAGGGTCTTGCAGGATTGTTTGTTTTGCCACTGGCCCTCAAGGCTGCTGTGTCTTCAGATGTTTTCTCTTAGGTAATTACCAGGGCCTTGCACACAATGGGGCTGCGTTGCTTGGAGATGCTGTGTGGGAAAGTGGGAAAGCCATCTACTTAACTGACTAGGGCGGGGAGGAACAAGCACAGCTTCGGCTTGATAACCCCATTTTCTCAACTGTGGCTGAGGGCAGGAGGAGCGAGTTCTGGGAGCTAGGGGTGTGCTTAGAAGCACACTATTTCTATTTGGGATCATTTAGCCACAGGAGCCACGTCTTCGTGCTAAAGTACCACCATGCTCTGACGCAGCGGAGTCCGGAACAGGAAGCTCACACCAAGGGTGGGCACAGCTCCATGTGGACCATAAGTTGACAGTTGAGTGGCTGGATTCTAGGAAGAGCATGTGATCCACTGTTCTAGGAGGAAGGGTCCCCTCCCGGGGGCCAGAGCCATGGCTGAGCAGCACACTGGGTCCCCAAACCTCAGACATGGGTGAGGCGAACGTGTCACCAGGGGCACGGGGTGCAGGTGGTTCCTCTGCATTCATCCGAAGAAGAAACAGCCGCGCCAGCGGTGAATGCCGTGACGGAAAGGAGTGAGGCTTTGAACACAGTGCTTCTGGAAAGGGCTCTGGGAGCAGAGTCCCAGCAGCCTGGGTGGACTGCATCACCCCACGGCCCCCCAGACTCTCACCGCCGACCTGGGGTCGAGGCCACACTTCCTGTTACTCTGCCAACCGTTGGTGAGCATCTGCCGGCCCTGCACTGGGCCCACACAGGATGTTGGCATCACACGGAGCAGCCCCACCTGCCATCAGAGCTGAGCACAGCCTGTGTCTGATGGGAACAGGTCAGCCAGGGCGGACTGGAATCTGGAGTTTATGGTGTCAGGGCTGTGTGTGCCCTAGATGCCGCCTCTTGCCCTTCAGAGGCAGGCTCGTGGCTGGACCAGACTCAGGCACCCCTGGGTGTCCCTGCTGCCTGCCAACCCTCTGCATGTCACTCTAGCGATGCCCTTACAGGGCGGCTACTTGGGCCCGGCCTGGTGCCCAGCGCTCCCTCCCTGGCTGTGCGCGTGCTGTGCTGTCACCTGCTGTCACAGCACTGACCCTGCCCCCACCTGCACAGTGAGCTGGCTGATTTTGGCTGTGGGCACCCTTTGTCGGGTCTCACAGCATCACTGGCCCTCTCATTCAATGGCAGGAGCTCCCTCTGCCTTTGGGACACGTCAGTGAGATCGCTCAAGGGCTCCCAGGTGCTGGAGGGTGTGCCGACCCGCACCAGGTGGTCCCGGTAGGACCCGTGGTCCCAGCACCTGCTTGCAGTCACGGGGCCCCATCTGGCTCAGGGACTTCACTGCTCTGGCTGAAAACCACCAACCTCATTACCATGGCACAGGTGTCCTCGGTTTACCCAGGGAGCAGCAGATTGGGGTGTTCTGCCCTCCGAATTGGACTTGTAGCCATAAACATCAATAACAACGGTAACTGTGTATTAAGTGCTATGTGCTGAGTGGCACTGTAGTGGATTTGAATTAGCAATTTCAAAATCTAGCATATTTTTAAAAATTCCACTTAAAGTGTGAAATTTTTAAAATCAAAATTCACTACAAAGCACTACTTGGAGAAGACGCTCAGAGGCTTCTTTGGAAGGGTGAGCTTGTTTAGCGGTTACCCTGAAGCACATTTGAAATTGCTCTTGGTGTCTCCCAGGCTCTGTGTTTGCGAGGGGTGCAACACGGCTAGGAGGGGTAGTGTCCACCTAGCCTGCCCT